ATTAAAGTGCGATGAATAAACGGATTGGATATTATGTTTTTCAATTCTTTCGTTTGACAACTTATAATATTAAAAACTGAATCGTAAAAATTCTGACTGCAATTATTACAAATGACTACAAAGCGAGGAGTAATGCATAGACTATCGTCGGAAGACTCCGTTTTTACCCTATTGTTACTTTCCGTTTGATTATTGTCCGATTTCATAAACGGAGCCGTTGCTTTTTTAACTATACTTAAAACAGCGTCCGTAGCACTGCTAAATAAATTTTTCGGAGAATCCTTTTTGTGATGAAACATTAATTCTTCATCGTACGGATCTCCATCATCATCCTCCGATAGAGAATTACGTTCATCTTCTTTGGCCAACACTTCGAATTCACTCGTTCCGTAAACTCCGACCCACGACACGGGACAAAATTGTTCTTTACCATAATGGGAATGCATTTCGACTTTGACGTATTTTCCGAAAAAATGCGGATGAAGATTAAATGTTTGCACGTCTCTACTGTCCTGAGCGGTAAATTTTCCGACACTACTCCACTCGCGAGTGGGAAAACGATGAGAAACAAAAACTGAAAAATGTTTCGGAGATGATGAAAACAATTCAAAATTTGCCAGATCTAACTGTTTCGCCTGTATGGCTTCGCATAATTCAATTATAAACCAAATTCTATTTGTGCAATAGTTGAGCATGTATTCATCTTTCAATGAAGAAAGAACAGATGATGAACTTAAAGATTCGGGATTGGCTGCCACTATTTTGGCTCCACAATCGGGTGATGCATAATTTTTTATTCGAAATTTTCCACGGAGCCTGGGAAATTTATCCGTTGTTTCATTTTGATCCGTCTTTTTTTTTTCCGCCTCTGCTAATTGTTTTTGAGTCCATTCACTAAAAGATGGAATGTCTTCGTGATGAGGTGGAGCTCTTTTAAACTCCTCTTGACTAGATACAATATGGTGTCCACTTTCATTTTGCTGCTGATTTAAAGTTGAAGCATTTTCCATTATATGTTCCTGTAATATTTTATGCACATAATTATAGAATGCTCATTGATTATTAAGTTAAAAAGAAAATACATTGCTGAACAAAAAATTTTTATTTTAATTTTTTCTCCTCACCTCTAACTTTAATTCGTCTTGATTATAAATATTTTCTGTATTTTCATATGAATCAGAAATTTGCTGTGTATTATTGAATTTTTCTATATTAACTTGAGATTTCACTAAGTTATTATTTAATTCTTCAGACACATCAGTTGGTGAAAATGTAACAGATTGTTCATTATTACTAACCAAGCTGTAAAAATATAACATGTTTAAAAGACAATTTTTTATAAATGTCCTAATAATTAGTGTTTTAATAAAAAATACATAATAAAAAAGAAAAAAAAAACATTTGTCATTTTTTTACGCATGTACATGATAAAACAATTACATTTAATTTAAGAATAAAACAATCCTTGAACAAATTATTATTATTATTATTATTATTATTAATACAAAGTCACCAACCTTGAAGAAAATTTTTCCTCGTTCAAAAGAGGTCGATTATTAGAATCAGGTTTTATATAATCTAATGTTTCCTCATTATTAGATTTTCCGATTATTTTATTTGTAACATGACTACTTTCCGATGCAGTGAAGAGTGAAATTTTCTCATGGGTAACTTCTTGAGAATCTGCTTCATACTGATTTATAGAAATACTATACTCATCTGACTGTGTTGCGCTAACAGTTTCCATGCATCTATAAAAGAATTAAATAAAACTCATACCGAGATTCAAATGATTTATATTCTAGATTCTCGTTTGAAAATTTTTAACAAGATAGGAATATTAATTCAATGGCTAAAAAAGTCAAGTATTGGTAAAATATGTAAAATGTGAAAAAAACAGTAATTACATTTTTATTTTAAAAAAGGAAAAAACCTAATTTGGAATTCTATAAATTTACATAATTGACAAAAAAAAAAAAAATATTAATTCAAATGAATATATATATATAGCCATTATTTTTGTTGTGAAATAATACAACATCATTGCAAACTTTAAGTAATAGTTTTATTTAACAATTATTTAAAATTTAAAAAAATATATAACTGAGTCAAGGTTTTTCTAAGGCTAAATTACAAATAAATTTTTTTTTTTTTTTTTTCTTTGAATAAAATATATATTGATTTAATGAATTAAATATAGAAAATTTGAAGCAAAAAAAAAAAAAAAAATATCAAAGTTATTATGAAATAAAATAATATAAATAAATACCTTCCATTTAAATTAGAAACTGCAGCTACACTAAGCAAACAGCTTAGCATAATTTTTATTATAGAGTCCATAAGACGAACAATTTCGGTATCATCTTACTGAAAAATGTAAATAATTTTTGTTTGAAATGAGAATATTGCAATGACGTGTACGATTCAACAGTTGATTTAATTGAACGTGGCAGAAGAATTTTTTTAAAAAAAGCAACACCGAAATTTTACCTTGAATATTATAATCATGTGCTTTTTCAAAATTAATGGTAGGAAATTGAATCTGGTTAATTTATCTTAAAAATTTTTATTTTTATTTTTTTTGAAATGTTCAGTACTAGCTGATTAATTTTAATTTACATGGAGCCAGTTGTTTTAGATCCTTCAACGTCAATGTCAACCTGTCCAAATAATGATAAGTCTGTAAATATAAATGGCGCTAAAGAGGTATTTACATATAAAATTACAGTAAATCTTTTTTTTTTAGTCTTTAAAATTTTGTATAATTTTTTTTTTTTAAATACGTTTCAAATTTTCGTTTAATTTATTTTTTTTTTAAATTCTACTAAAAATTTTGAAAATAAATTTTTTAAATTTGTTTAAATGGAATTAAGTTTTCGTTTCGGTATTCAATTAAAACTTTTATTAAAAATTCAAAAAAAAAAAAATTTATTATTAATTTATTTTCTGTTTTCAAATTAATAATTTTATTCATTTAAACATTTTTACTCGTTAAACATTTTTTTTTTTTACATAGTTTAAAATGTATATATAATGTTATATTTTCATCTCAACTGTTACTCATTCTAATATGTGTACATTCATAAAACATATCTCCTTGTACAAATAATAAATTTAGATAATATTGTTATATTAAATTTTAGGATGTAATATCAATTAAATCATCACTTATTTTGAGTATCCATTCTTTACAATCAGTATGTACTACTCCAAATCAAAATACACAGCAAATGTTCTCTTATTCAGGGCTTGCTTGTAGAATTTGTCATGAAGGTGAGCTTTAAATTTATGTTTTAAAAGTATTTAATATTATTAATAATTAAAAATTGTATTTTAATATTAATATTTTCAGGTAAAAATTTATAAATCATGAGATTTATGATAAAAAGATTAATATCGATTCGAAACGTAAACATTTTAAATGAGGGGAACAAAAAGTCTTGTATTCGTTTACATCAGTGATTTTTTTTTTTTTTTTTTGTTTATTTTTGAACCTTTTGTTTTTGTGCAACCCATAAAATTTATGATCTATTCATTTTGTTTTGTAATTCATGTTAAATTACATTTTTTTAAATCGAAAAAAAAAAAATTGATTTTTTTTTTTTACATGTAAAATTTTAAATATTTTAAAACAATGACATATGACACAAGTCGATGGTTTTATTTAAATTTAAATTTTATAAATGACTGAATGGTTGAAAAACAATACTCTTTCAAATGTCTTACCATCATTAAAATTCGATTATTTATTTTTTAATTAATTCCTTTTTTTTTTTGTTTTTTTTTTCCCCTCGTCAAGTACACAATAAGAATATTTTACAATTTATTCATACATATCATTTATTTCTTTATAAATCTGATTTAAATTTTTTTTAACTTGTTTTGTTTATTATAATACACCTGATACCTGATTTTATTTCAGATGGAATAAAAGAAGAATTGATCTCGCCTTGTGCCTGTGCCGGTAGTGTTGGTTTAGCTCATGCAAAATGCATTGAGCAATGGTTATCATCATCAAACACTACAAACTGTGAAATTTGTAAATATCAGTACAATATATCAATAAAATCTAAATCCTTTTTACAGGTAACTCACACATTCGAAAGAGACATTTTCATATTACATATATTTTAAATTAATAAATTATAATGAAATTTACAGTGGTTAAAAAATAAAAATCCCCTCAATGGACCCTCAGGTTTTTACGGTGACGTTTTTTGTTTCGTTCTTCTAACACCTCTTTGCATCGGATCAGTATACCTGTGCGCCGTAGGTGCTCATGCATACATAAAACATGGCCTTTGGGAAGGTACTGGTTTGGCCATGTTGTGTTGTTTTCTTACCGCCGTTTATATCTTATGGTGTTTCGTAGCATTCAGGTAAGTTTTTCCGACACTAAAAAATATTTTCCGGGATTTTAAATGATAAAATCGATAATAATTTTTTTTTATTATAGATTTCATTGGAAACGTTTTCGAAGTTGGCAAGCTACAAATAAAACGGTTCGATTATTACCTAAACATGCATCTGCATAAAATGTCGCATCCTATATATATTTATTCTATCTCGTGTCATATAATTTTTATATATATATATATATAAATTTTAAGCCAAAGTATTATTATTATTATTATTTATTTATTTATTTGTTTTAATTTGAAATAAATGTATTTTTTTTAAAAAAAAAATTTGAGTAGTTTTTTTTTTTTCAATCGAAAAAAAAAAAAAAAAATTCAATTAGTTATTGGTTAAAAAATTAATAGAGTAAATAAAATGAATTAAAACAATATTCGTGTCATCACGAATAAAAGTTATTAAAAAAAGAATTACATTTAAAAATTTCATGGTTTTATTTTGCAAAGAGTAACAACTCGTGCAGAAAAAAAAAAAAAGAAAATTTTTTTTTATTTTCGACCCATTTCACATAATTTATTGATAATTTATTAAAAAAGAAAAATATGTCACAACAAATATGTGTCATATAGTGTTCACAAGAAATAGTTTTAAATAAGTAATAGACCAAAAAACCTTTTTTAACATTTCAATCAATCTTAAAAAAAAAAAAAATTCTTAGAATTTAATTTATAAAGAGTCCTACTTAATTCGTCCCTGAATCGTTTTACTTAAATAAATTTCTTTTTTCAATAATTATAGGGTTTAACCCTTTAGATATATAAAAAATTTAAAAATGTAAAATTTCTTACTAAAAAAAAAAAAAAAAAAAAGAAACAATGACCAAAAAAAAAATAAAAATCATATTAATTTTAATGGTAGCCTTTTGAAAGAAAGGTTGTAGTGGGAAAAAAAAATTTTCTCGGAAAAGTCAAAGTTTTTTCCCTTTTGAACACATGTTAAAACTTTTTATTAATAAATATATAAATTAATTATTTATTTAAAAACGTTATGAATAATTTTTTATTATTTATTTATTAAAAAAAAAAAAAAATTTTAATTCATCAAAAATTTTTAATAATAATAATAATAATAATAATAGGGGGAGAAAATGGGATTTTCATTAATCTTATCTGATTACTCCAGAGATGTTGTTGTCCAGTACAGGAAATAATTTGTTTCCACATGGTTTCAATAAGACTTACGAGAATTGTTGTGACGTCATAGGTTATAACAAACGACCAGGCATGTAGTAGCATCACTCATATTCCTTAGGGATTGGGATTGGGATAAAAACCTGGAATAAATGTTTGGAAAAAAAAAGAGAAAGAAGAATTTGTGCGTGCGTGCGTGCGTATGGGGTTTTACTGTTGGAAAACTCAAAAAAAAAATTATCGTTTAGAATATCGAAAGACATTTTGGAAAAACCTAACCATTGACTGGAATCAATGACATCACGGTTTTCAGTAAAAATTTTATTTATTTATTTATTTTTTTTTTAGGGGCAACCACATCGCGTGACTGGACGGTTAAACATTTTTTTATTTTTTATTTACATTTAAAAAAAAAAAAAAAAAAAAAAAACAATAAATTTGATGGAAAACACAAAATTTTTTTTTTACAATAAAAGTTCGATGAAATTATTATTATTATTATTATTAATTAAAATTAATTTTTTTTTTGTTTTGGATCCTTTAAAAAGTGATCAATTAATTTTCCACTCTTTTTTCCTTCTTTCCATGTTTTTATCTTAAAAAAAAAAAAATTAGGAAGGTATGGAGAAAAAAAACAAATATGGAGGATAAAAAAAAAATAATTTTGGAATTATAATAATAATCAAATTTAAAAAAAAATTTTTTTTTTTTTTTAATCAATTCGGTCATGGATAAAAAAAAAAAAAGTATTCGTGTTACCTATCCTGGAACGATATTTCAATTTAAAAAGGGAATAAAAAAAAAAAAAAAATTTTTTTATTCCCTTCATAAAATGAGGACACATTTATTATTGAAATTATCGATTTTCCTTTTTTTTTTCCTTCCAAACAAAAGTGATGCCGTGACCTTGTCGGTGGTGGTGGTGGCTATGGTGGGGGTGGGGGTGGTGGTGGTGATGGTCGGTTTTGTAGTAAAAAAAAAAAAAAAACAAAAAAAAACAAAAAAAATCAACATTTCCACAATATCCTTAGTCACTCATGATCTTGTCAAGTGTTAACTTGTTGTGTCTTTTTTCTTTGTCTCTCTCTCTCTCTCTTTTTCCAGTCAGTTAAATAAATTTATTTATTTATCGAAAATATAATAAATAAATAAATAAAAAGTTGTGTTATTAATCGCCATGATTAAAAATTATTATTATTATAACAATAAACGCGTCGCGTAGTTGTTTTATTAAAAATGAAGATTATTATTAATTTATTTTATGATTTACAATATGTGATGATAATAATAATAACAACAGCAACAGCAGCAACAACAACAACAACAACAAAAATTTTATTGCCAATTATTTTTTTTTTATACATGCGTAAAAAATTTTTTTTTCCAATCGAAATTAATTTTTATAAATTACTATGGGAATTTGTTTAGACACAGGTAATCATCATAATTTATTTATTTTTAATAGCACACGTGTTTATTAATGAAATTACACGTGTGTGTTTATGTTTATACACACACACGCACATGCACACACACACACGTGAAAAAAAGGTTTAGAAAAATTAAATTGGACGTTATAATTATAAATCAAATTTGAACTTGACATATTTTATTTTTTTGGTGACAAATTCGATTCGAAGTTTTTAAGCAAATTAATGATTCACGTGTGAGAGAAAGAGAGAGAGAGAGAGAGAGAGAGAGAGAGAGAGAGAGAGAGAGAGAGAGAGAGAGAGAGAGGTTTTGCACTGACCTTTGCCCCTTTTCCACAAAAAAACACAAAAAAAAAACACAACAACAAAAACACAAACCCAACAAAAAAAAAATTGAAATTATTATTATTATTTAAAGTTTTTTTCCTGGAGAAGGGAAGTAAGTAGGAGGAGGAGGAGGAAAGGTGGAAAAGCGGGGGAGGAGGGAAATTTTTTTTACTTTCGTGATAAAAAATTTTTTTTCCGTTGAATTCATAAAAAAAAAAAAAAAAAAAAAAAAGTAAAATAAAATAATCGTGAATTTGTGATGAGTCAATGTAAATGAAATTAATAAAAAATTTAAATCAATAATTTATTTATTTATTATTATTATTATTATTATTATTATTATTATTATTATTTTTTCCCTCCTCTTTTAAGTTTAATGACCTTTTCCACATTATCAATTTTATTATTCTTATTGCGTTATATAAAAAAAAAAATGTCAGTGAACTTTTAATTATTTATTATTTAAAAATCCTATCGTTTGAAAAAAAAAGGAGAGTATTAACGTTAAATAATATTATTATTATTATTAATGATTAGATCAACAAAATGAATCACAAGTATATGACGATGATAGAAGAAGTGAAAGAATGTGGGCGGAAAGTCGTAGGGATAACAATTTCAATTATTCTCCCACGACGACCCCCCCGGAAGAAAGACAATTTAGAGAAAGTGAAAATTATGTTAAATTTCAAGTACCTAAAGTGCCTGTTATATTTGTACTCGGAGGACCCGGAAGCGGAAAGGTGACTCACGGTGATAATTTAATGCAAGAAAAAAAAGGGATAACGCATATAAATATGACGGATTTGCTCCAGCAATACGCCATGGGTAACGGTTGGTATATCCAAATTAAATACTAAATAACGTGGAATTAGAAAAACTCTCGATAGTAATAATTTTCTGTCTTTTGTTAAAGAAATGAGAGATTTTTCATCATTATCAAGTAAAACGGTAACGGAAGTTTTAATGTTGGAAATGAAAATGGCTCCAGCAGCAAAAACTTATTTAATATCCGGTTATCCAAGAAGTATGAGAGACGTTGTCGAATATGCAGAAAAAGTAAAGAAAAAAAAAAACGTTTCATTTTGAATTTAAATAATTTATATTATAAATAATTTTGGGTTATTTATTTATTTATTAAAAATTTAAGATTCAAGTAGTTAGCGGAGTGATATTAGTAGCTTGGCAGCAAAAAGTTCTGGAAAAACAAATTGATTATGGTGCCAAAATAGGTCACGTCGTTCTTAGTTTGGCAAAAATGGAATTAAATAATTTTTATAAACACGTCATGCCGGTCGTTGATTATTTCGACGAAAGAGGAATGCTCATTGCCGTAAGAACTAAAACTCATTATTATTATTATTATTATTAGTATTATTATTATTAGTATTTCATGGATAAAATTAATTTTTAGATTAACGGAGAAAGGAATCCGGCAGAAGTTTATAAAGATTTTCGTTCTGCCGTACTTAGAATCATAGGTTCGACAGAACAAATGGATTCAAACACACCAGAAGGAAAAGAAGAAATTTTAGAATCATTTATAGATGAAGTAGCAGAAGATGGCGGTGATGGTGGTGGTGAGGGGATGAGAACGAAAGAAAAAGTTTATCCTCCCGTCATATGGGTCTTGGGTTAGTTTTTTTATCATTTTTTGACTTTTGTTACTTTTCTTTTTAACGGAAATTATTTATTATTAGGTGGTCCCGGAAGTAATAAAGGTTCTCTGTGCCAAAAAGCTGTTCGACAAGTCCCTGGATGGGCACATATTAGCGTGGGAAGACTTTTGCGTGCAGCAACCGATGCCAACGATTTTAATGCCAATGACACATTTGTTTTAAAACAAGCTATTTCAGCTGGAGAATTGGTGCCACAGGTAAAATATGAAATATAAAATTTTTTTAACGGTAAAATTTCAAAAGCCATCATCATCATCATCGAACGAACTAACGAAGTTAATTAATTATTGTTTATTTTTTTCATAGACGTACGTCCTTAATTTAGTAGAAAAGCACATGAACGCCTATTCGGACGCCAAAGGAATATTAATGGACGGTTTTCCGCGTGATATGCATCAAGTTAACGAATTCGAAGCCAAGGTTTTCTTTTAACCCCCCCAAAAATTTTACTTATTTATTATATAAAATCGATAATTGATGATGTTTCGTTTTTTTTTCCAGTATAAACAGCAGCCGAATGCAATTCTTTTAGATTGTTCGAAATTACAATTGGGAAAAGGACGTATGGACGATAGCGTTGCAGCTTTTAGAAAACGTTTAGAATTGTTCAGACAAATATCATTACCAATGTTAAAAATATTAGATAGCGAAAACAGACTGACAGTTGTGAGTGTCACGGATCAATTAATTAATTAATTAAATTATTTATTAAATAAAAAAACGAATAAAATGAAATTTTCCCAATGTTTCGTAGGTTGACGGAGATACGGATTCGCCAGAAGTTCAAGATGAATTTTTCCGTTTGTTTTTAAATCACACAAAACAAATAAATAATAATTCAGAAAGAGAAATAGGGGTGCAATCGAAACCGTTAAATTATCAAAACGATGATATGGAATATTCTAGACCTGTCACACGCACTATAATACCAAACGGTAATTTGCCGTCTGCGGCAAATAAATTAATACCGAACGGTGTTCCACGCACAATTCAAAATGGTCTCATTGGCGGCGTACAAAATATAAAAACATTGCCAAAAACAATTAGAAATAATAATAACATGAGAAATATAAGTTCAAATATAAATCATTATTATTAATTTTTAAATTTATAATTTTTTTTTTTTTTTTGTATTTGATTTTGAAACGTTGGACGATAAAGAAATTTAAAAAATTTAACGGATAAAGTGCCAAAAGGGTACGTTCAGAAATTATACTTACGTTACGTCGTCATACGTTTCTTTTTCTTTTAATTAGAGACACGACAAAAAAAAGCAAAAATTCTTCGCACACGACGAAATTAAATTCTAAAGAATAAAAATGTTGTAATTGAAAAATATAGTTCAATATAGTTTTGTTACGTTTCCTACGAATTAATTAATTAATTAATTAATTAAATTTTTATCCTCGTGAAAAAGTATAAACGCATGAAGAAAATAATAATAAAAAAGTGGGGGAGGTGATATTGGGGGGGGGGGGGAGGAGAGGAACGAGAAAATTAAAATAAATATATATATATTTCAGAAAATAAATGAAAAACATGCAAAAATTATAAAATATATAAGATTAATACATACATGAATACATACATAAATAAATAAATAAATAAATAAAAAGTAAATAATAGAGATCAAATCACAAATAAAAACAACATAATTATAAGAGCAATAATTTTTCATTTTCCTTTTCATTTTCTTCTTTTTTTTTTTTCTTCATTTTATTTCATACTACTATTATTATTATTATTATTATTATCGTCATTTTTTACTTTTTTTCGACGAACTCGATTTAACGCTTTTTTTTTTTTTTTCTTTCATTTTATCTAAATTTTTTGTTTCTTTTAAACTCTGTCAAAACAATAATAATAATAATTATTAATTTGGTTAAAAGTAATAAGTTGGAACGAAGGAATGCGAGTGAACAATTGGTAAAAAAAAAAAAAATAAATAAATAAATAAAATAGCCGTTAAATTCAAATTTTTTACGAATTAACGGTTAAAAAAGGTAACTAACCTTAGTTTCGAACGGTGATTGTGCCACGTCTTTTTCAACAGCCGGTAAATTAACCATTTTTTTCATTGATTGTTTTAAAATTTGTAATTGATTTTGTGTTTGTATTCTATAATTTATTTCACTTTCTAATTGTATAGCTAAATTATTTTGTTTATTTATTGCTTCTTCCAATTGTAATTTCAATGCCTACGAAATGAGAGAAAAAAAATTTTTTTTTTTTTTTTTTTTTGTCTTCTCAAAGCATATTTAAATATTATAAAAAAAAGGAGGTACCTGTATGGCATCAGATTCTGTAAATGGTTTTTTATTTTGTCTTTCAATTTCTAAAGCCATACATAACCTTTGAGTTATATTTTTAAGTTTTTCCATTTCAATTTCTAATAATTTTTTATCTTGTATTTCTTTATTTAATTGTTTCCTATTAAAAAAAAAAAAAAAGAAAATGTAATAATAATAATAATGATAATAAAATATGAAAATAAATTTTTTTTTTTGCCTGATACTCATTACTCGTTATTTTATTTACACTCTCTCATGATCACCTGATACTTCAAATTTGATTTGGAGAATGTTGTTTAACTTACGTTTTTTCCAAACTTAACGACTGATGAAACGATGCCTGCGAACCTAATCTATCTCTTTCTTCTTTTAAATCCGATTGTAATTTCGTTTGAGAATTTAATAATAATTTTAATTCTGAATTTTTCTGTTGTTCGCTTTGTAAAAGAAGATTTAAATCTTTAAGACGGCATCTTTCTTTCTTTATCGAAACTTCCATGTCAAGAACTAAAATGATATTTTTAAAACGTGTTAGTTAGTCAGTCAGTCAGTCAATCATCGTTTTAATCAAACACGATATGCAAGCACGTATAAGGTAGTAGGTGGTACTCACTAGCTTCTTGAGTTTGTTTTTGTTTATTAATTATTTCATTTTCTAAACTAACTATTCTTTGTAAAAGTTGTTCTTTGTCGGCTTCAAGGAGTGATGGTTGTAAGCAAGTTTCACCGACAGGAGGTTCAAGAACTGAACTTATATCCGCTTTGAGTACTTTTTCTTTAAGTGCACAACATGCTTTTGCGTGAACGAGAGCGATTTCGTTGAATGACAGGCTCTGTAATAAAAAAAAAATTTTTAAATGTTTAAAAAAGAGTAATTTTCAGGTACTGGGAAAATAGTAATGATACTCACGTCTAATCCTTCTGCTAAAATTTTTTCAATAACTTCAGTAAAATCAAGAGGATACGACGGATCTCTAAGTTTACGAGGTTGTTTTTTATAAAAATTGCATTTACAAACTCCTTCACCTTGGTTTAATTGATCTGGAAAAAAAAAATATATATATATATATTTATAATATTTTTAATATGTAAAAAATTAATAATTTTATTATTAAAAATAAAATCAAACCAGAATAATTTAAAAAAAAAAAAAAATACCTTTCAAATTTCTTATTTCCGCATCCGATTTCTTTTTCTCATCTTCGTATGCTCCGGCCAACATACTTAACCTCCTTAGATTACTTCTCTTCATGTTCTGTAAATCTCTACTGTGCTTAGCTTTTAATGCTCCAACTGCATCTTCGGCATCTTTTAATTTCATTAATTTGTCTTCGGCCTTTTTCATTTTTTGTAAATATGATAATGACATTTTTCTGAGTTGAGAAGCTGCACCTCTTGCGATATCGTCTAGCGCCTGTTCAGAATGAGCTAGTTGTCTGTCATGTTCTAAATTAAGGCCTTGAACTTCGTCTTCGTGCAAACCTTGAAGTCTCATAATGCTAGCTCTATGCTTTTCCGTTAGCTTTCTAATATCGGTTTCGTATCCGGCTTTCATGGCATTTAAGTTGTCATTGCAAGCTTTCTCTCTGTTTTCTAATTCTTTCTTTTGCTGTTCTACTAATTTTTTTATAACACTAGCGTTTTGTGATTCTAGGTCCTTTAATAACTCATCATATTTTTTCTTATTGTCAGCAATAATTTTATCCTTTTCGTCCAACAACTTTTTTAATCTATTATATTCAGCCTCTGAAGGCGGAACATATTTAGTAATTGTTTGAGGAAGAAGAGGTTGCGTACTGTCTACAATTGGTACCGAATCAATTATTGGTATCATGTTTGCAGGGGCGTCACGACGAATTTCAGGTGGTCGAGGAAGAACCGTTGGGAGTTTAGTTTGTGATAGTAAAGGACGCTCTGGAGGCGCTGGCGTTTCTGGAGGCTCCTTCCGTCGTCTCTGTGATTGCACATTAGTTTGTGGCGCGTTTTCATCAGTTGGCGCAGGTATAAGCGGTGGCGTATCGTCATGAACAGGTTCAGCAAGCGGTTGTACGCTGCCTGCAACAGGTTCGAGACGACGTTCCGGCACATTATCTGCAACCGGTTCAGGGCGACGTTGTGTGGTAGTGGGTGCAACCGGTTCAGGGCGACGTTGTGTGGTAGTGGGTGCAACTGGTTCAGGGCGACGTTGTGTGGTAGTGGGTGCAACTGGTTCAGGACGACGTTGTGAGGTAGTGCTTGAAACTCGTTCAAGACGACGCCGTTTTGAACCGCTGCTGACAGCTGATTCAGTACGACGCCGAGCAGCTTCTGGGGGTGCAGTGTCTTGAACAGGTGCGGTTAAAAGCGATGGCACTTTGCCTGCAACTGATTCAGGACGACGCTGTGACGAAGTGCTTGCAACTGGTTCAAGACGAATTTCCGGCACATTATCTGCAACTGGTTCGGGACGACGTTCCGGCGCTTTATCTGCAACCGATTCAGGGCGACGTTGTGAGGTAGTGGGTGCAACCGATTCAGGGCGACGTTGTGAGGTAGTGGGTGCAACTGATTCAGGGCGACGTTGTGAGGTAGTGCTTGCAACTGGTTCGGGTCGACGTTGCGACGTAGTGCTTGCAACTGGTTCAAGACGATGCTGTGACGAAGTGCCTGCAACTGGTTCAAGACGACGTTGTGACGTAGTGCTTGCAACCGATTCAGGGCGACGTTGTGAGGTAGTGGGTGCAACCGATTCAGGGCGACGTTCTGACGTAGTGGTTGAAACTGGTTCGGGACGACGTTCCGGCGCTTTATCTGCAACCGATTCAGGGCGACGTTGTGAGGTAGTGCTTGCAACTCGTTCAGGACGACGTTGTGAGGTAGTGCTTGCAACTCGTTCAGGACGACGTTGTGAGGTAGTGCTTGCAACTGGTTCAGGACGACGTTGTGAGGTAGTGCTTGCAACTCGTTCAGGACGACGTTGTGACGTAGTGCTTGCAACTGGTTCGGGTCGACGTTGTGACGTAGTGCTTGCTACTGGTTCGGGTCGACGTTGTGACGTAGTGCTTGCAACTGTTTCGGGTCGACGTTGTGACGTAGTGCTTGCAACTGATTCACTTTTACGTTTTGGCGCATCGCTTTTACTTGGTGGAGGAACAAGCAATGGCGCAGTTTCACGAGTAGGTTCGACTAGAAGTGGTTTCGTACTATCTACAACCGGTACATTGTCTTCAATTGGTTGATCAAGAATCGAGGGTTCTTTTTCTTTAACAAGTTCAGACTCTCGTGGTGGTGCTTCGTCTGCAACTGGTTCAGAACGCATGTTGTCCATAATTGGCCCATCAAGAAGCGAGGGTACTTTCTCTACAATTAGCGGTTCTATACTTATAACTGGTTGAGAAATCGATATAGGTAGATCTAAAATTTGCGAAGCGGAGGTAGGTAATTTCGAAGGTACGTCTTCAATTGGTTGAGAAGTAGAAGGGACAGGCGTAGGAGGTTGTATATATATAATTTGTTCTTTAGAACTGGGTTGAGATGACAAAAGCGGTACTTTTTCAGCTTCGTCTTGAGAAGAAATAAGAGGTAATTTTTCCGCTGCCTCGTGAGAAGAAATAAGAGTTAATTTTTCCGTTTCGTCGTGAGAAGAAGAAATAAGAGGTACTTTATCCGTTCCGTCGTGAGAAGAAGAAATAAGAGGTACTTTATCCGTTCCGTCGTGAGAAGAAGAAATAAGAGGTACTTTATCCGTTCCGTCGTGAGAAGAAGAAACATGAGGTAATTTTTCCATTGCTTCGTGAGAAGAAGAAACCGATGGTAATTTTGCAGTTTCTTCTTGAGATTTGGACAAAAGCGGCTGCGAAGGTAAATCTAATTTTTGCTCTGAAACAGGAGATGTTGGAGCGGGCTCTTTTAGTGAATGATAAGAAGAAGGAGGTTTGGTTTCTAAAGCATCTAATCGATTGGCTTCCTTTTCAAGTTCAAGCCTTTGCCGTAAACAGTTCACTAAAGTTTTAAGTTGACAATTTTGCTCTAAAACTCGTTTTAATTCAGAGCGAAGAGCTTCGCATTCATCACTTAATTTCTGGCCTTTAAATGCATCTAATTCAGCTTGAAGAAGGCTAAGTAAATTTTCTAAAGCGCATTTTTCATCTAAGGATTTCGAAAAATCCGGAGTGGGTTTTTGTATTTCTCGCAATAGCTCGTTTTCTTTTTTCAATTCCGATGTCAAATTATTCAATTCCATAATTTGAAGCTTTAACTGATCAATTTCTTGTTGAAGAGCTTTAGATTTATTGAAATTAACTTCATCTTCAGGTTGCATTGAATAATTATCTTTTATATTACGCTTTGCTAATCTTTCTGCTTTACAACGAGCTTGACGTTCCATTTCTAAAAGCTTTTCTAAATCTGCAACTTGTTTAAGACCATTACAAGCAGCTTCAAGTTCTGCTTTCATTTGTTGGTTTAAATCTTTAAGCGTTTCAATGTCTAACTCATCATTGCTTTCAATAGCATTTTTCATGAGGGATCCTTTTTTACCTTTATGTAACCTATTTATTTCTGATTCCTTTTCTGCAAGTGCTTTTTTCAAATCATCAATTTCGTCATACAGAAATTTCGTATCAGATTTTTCAATTCTTTTTTTTAATTTTTCTATTTCATTTTTCATTGCTTTGTTACACGCTTCTAATTCTTCCATTTCTTTATGGTGTTCTATCATGTCTTCGAGTACGCAAGATATTATACCCTTCGAAGATTGTAATAAATTTTGTACTTCTTCACAAGACATATTTCCTTTTTCTTCACGGGTATGTTTTAATTTATTACTTGAAGAAGGCTAACGAAAAAAAAATAAATAAATAAATAACAGAATAATAACATACTTAATAATTTCTTATTTATTTAACTTGTGTTATCTTCATTGTTTTATGTTTTAGTAGTAATGTTTAGTTGCGTGTGTGTGTGTGTGCGTGGGTGGGGGGAGGGTGACAAGGGTGTAAGAACAGCAGGTTCTCGTTTTTACTGGATCAAAATTTAAAAAAAAAAAATGCTGACCTGAGATTTTGATAAAGTATTTTCATTATCAACACCCATGTTATTATCTTCGACGTTAATTTTTTCTCCTCTCAAAACTCCTATAACCGATGAAGTTTGTAAACTTTCACGTTTATATTTAACTGAAATTTCTTTTGATTTTGACGGCCATCTAACTTCTATCTTTTGAAGTCTAGGTTGACTCCTGCAAAATCAAGTAATAAAATTTTTTTATTTTAAATCACTCCCAAGATTGACATTTCAATAATTTCAAATTAATAGTGAATTACAAATAACATAAAGAATTAAAACTTAAATAAAAATTAATTTTAAATAAATCATACGTTTTTTTTTCAGAAATGTTTTCCGAAAACGACTGAAGTTTTTTTCTAAGTTCATCAATTTCCGCTTCCAACATGGGGATTTCCGCCAAATGTTCTTCGCATAACCGTAATTTTGAATTTTTCTCATAGAGCTCACATTTTAAACGTTCTAATTCTTCCTCGGTTTGCTATATATTTAATTTATAATTATCATCAGTATGATTAAATTAAATAAAATAAAAAAAGGGGCGGATTTTATTTAAATAATTTACAAAACACTTACTCCGCTACTTAATTTTTCAATTTGACCCAATAAATCTTTCATTTCTTCCTCTTGTTCAGCCACGGCATTTTGTAATTTCGATATAAGTTCTTTATCTTCTATCGCACTAACTTCTATTTCTTGAATTTTTTCTAATCTACATTTAAGATATTCGTTTTCTTTTTCTAACTTATCGAGAGCTAATAATTTGTTATTTAATATTTCATTTTCGGCAATTATATCATCGACTTTTTTAAGTTTACTCTGTAAAGCTTTGTATTCGTTTTCGTGGGATGATAATTCATTGACTCTTTTAAGAAGGCAATCTCTTTCTTTTTTCAATGCGTTAAGTTCTTTTGTTGTTTTATTCATATTTTTCATTTGTTCAGCCGCTTTTTGTGATTCCCTATTGAATATCAAAATCATTCGTTATTTATTTATAGGGGGAAAAAAAAAAATTAAATTTAATAATAATAATAATAATAATGAAATAAAAAAATGAATGAACCTTTTGTATTTATCAGCCAATGCTAATCCCCTTTTTTTCAATTCTTGTATTTGTTTTTCTAAACATTTCATTGAAGCTAATTTTTTTTTATAACATTCATTTTCTCTTGATATTTCTTCAATGCTCATATTATCAGATTTAGATTGTTTTCTTAACATTTCAATTTCGTTTTCTCTCTTTTTAAATTCTTCCAATTCTTTTTCTAATTTATTTACTTTTTCTTGTAATAATGTTCTTTCTGCTTCCGAATCTTCAACATTATTCGTACCTGATATTTGAGCAAGCATTTCTTGTGCTTTGTTAAGATCTATTTGTATTTGACTTTTTGATCTAAGATCAGCTAATTCTTTTTCTAATTGTTTCTGTAAAAAAAAAAATAAAAAAAAATAAAATAAATAAATTATGGTTTTTAATTAAATAAATAAATAAATGAAAAATTAAAAAAATTAATTTTTACCTTTCTTTCTTCTAAAAGTTTTATTTTTTCTTCTGAACATCTTAATTTCAAATGTAATTTTTTATTTTCATTAACTATTTCATCAATGTTTTGTAATTTATGCATGGCTTCCCTTAGCATGCCTTGTGAGTCGAAAACATCATTCGCAAAGAAATTTCCCTGAAAAAACATTTTAAAGTGTTTTTTAAAACATAATTAAAATATAAAAATTTTATTTGGATTCGTACCATTAATCCTCTTTTCGTTCCCATGTACTCATCTTCACCGCTACGACCACCACGACTAGTGCTGGCACCACCACTTTGACCTCCATCACTTTGACCAGCGCCGCTTTGACCAGCGCCGCTTCGACCAGCGCCGCTTTGACCAGCGCCGCTTCGACCAGCGCCGCTTCGACCAGCCCCGCTTTGACCAGCCCCGCTTTGATCAGCGCCGCTTCGGCCACCGCCACTTCGACCACCCCCATAGTTATCATCATCATCATCATCAAATTGACCATTAAGGGCATATCCTGGTCCCGCTGTATCAACGAAAAAATTTTCGTCACCAGGTGTAGAACCACCGCGAGTATTTCCTTGACCGAGTGCACCACCACCGCTACCATCACGACCACGAGTATTTCCTTGACCAAGTGCACCACTACGAGCATTTTCTGGACCAAGTGCACCACTACGAGCATTTCCTTCGCCAATTGGTCCACCTCGTACATTTCCTTGACCAAGTGCACCACTACGAGCATTTCCTTCGCCAATTGGTCCACCTCGTACATTTCCTTGACCACGAGCGGCGCTACGTTCACTTTTCGGTTGAAATTCCTAAAAAAAAAAAAAAATTTTATTAATTAATAAATAATTATTACCCGAGTTTTTTTTGCAAAAAAAAGAAATAATAATCTTACTTCTTTACAACATTTTCTCAATTTTTCTTCGAGTTCTTTTATTTTAGAATCTTTTTCAGACATAAGAATTTTAAATAAATCATCCAAAGGTACGTATTTATGCGATTCATCGGTATTTAAACATGTCTGTAAAATCAAATACGTTATTATTATTATTATTATAACTCTTACAAAAAATTACATTTTTTAAATTTAATTTGATGAGAAAAAAAAAAAAAAGGTAGGTAGATACCTGACTTCCGGTAACTAAATCATATAAGTATCTATATTGTAGAGTTTCACTACAATTCCAGGCTCTTCTATCACGTATGGAAATAAATTTTTTCAATCGGTGATCTGATCTCTTTACTTCTGGAGGAGTACAATTTTGAAAATTTGGATGAGGTAAAGAAAAAATTTTTTCTCCTTTCGAAGCATAACTCATATTTTATTATTTATGTTTTATTATTAAATTTACTTAAATAAATAAAAATAATAATAAACCTCGACTGATAATTTTGGTTATTTAATAAATCTCCTAATTAACTTTTTTTTTTTTAAAAAGTTAAAATTTTATTCAATCAAACACGCACATTTTTAATTTATTATTTTTATTTACTTAAATCACAGCCTTCTTTATTTTTTTTTTACCCTTTTTTTTTTATAAATTTTCATTATTATCATTATTATTTTTTTGTAATTTTCAAATATTTATTTACGTTAATCATACCTGAAAAATATTCATTTATTATTATTACTATATTTATAGTCGATATAAATTTACATTTGAAACTAATACTATTATCATTATTATCATTAAAACTAAAATTTAATAATTATTTATATAATAATAATTTCACTCTTTGTATAATTAATTATCATTATTCAAAAAAAAAAAATTTATCCTTTTAATAAATCAATTTAATTTGTTATAATCACCGGAAATGTAATTAACGTAATGATTTCCGGTGACATTTATAATTACATTTATGATTATTGATTGACATTTAAATGAAATTTCATTTTTTTTATAGATATAATAATGATGATTTTAAAATTTTTGTTTTGTCTTTTTGTGAATCTTTTGAAATAATTTGTATTATAACTAAAATTAACTGAATAAATAAATAAATAAATGATGAAAAGTTTATTAGTTTTTATTATAATAATTAATTTACGTATTATAATAATTAATTGCGTGCCTTCGTGTTCGAACGTAATGAAAAATTCAAAACCAAAATTTCATTTGGTGGCACCTTGTAGCATATCTGGCATGAATATTCTGGCAAGAACAAATGCCACATCGGTAAAAAGATGTTCAGTTTTTGCAAATTTAAAACAAGGATTAGCTTTTAGTTTTCAACGTCCAGGTAAAATCTCTTATATTTTTTTTAAAATAATAATAATAATAATATTTTAGATAAAATAAATAAATTAGTTTTAGGAAATCAAATAAATTCAACGGAAAATTGTTTGGTATACGATTGTCCCGAATCAGAAATTTTACAATCCATAAAAAGAAAAAAAAATATCAATTATTATAGTTTATATGCAGATCCATTACGTAAGTTGATACATAAAACGATATAAATTCAATGTACAAAGGCTTAAATTGAAGATGATAATGATGATTTTGTAGCATTCGAAGACACCATATGTTTGGTGGGTGTTGGAATATTTAAAATACACGAAAATAAAACGAATTACACGGAAGCTAAAAGGATATGCAAAGAAGAAAGTGGAGAATTGACATCCGTTTTAAGTTCGAAAAGAACAAAAGGACTTTCTAAAATGTTAAATTATTTAAAATTAGGTAAATTAGCCTACGTCGGTTTGGATGATATCGAACAAGAAGGAAAATTCAAAACCATTTCTGGACAATTGGCTACCTGTTACGAATATAGAGCTTGGGATTTGGGAGAACCGAAAAATCGTAGGAAAGAATATGATTGCGTCGCATTGAATAAAAATAATAATTGGCAAGTTATGGATTGTTCTAGAAAATTACCATTCATATGTGAGATATTACCCAAGGGTCCATTTCCCATACAAGATGAAAAAGTTAAAGATTCTTGCCTAATTGATTTATCAAATCGTAAATTAATTAAAAAAATATCAGATAATAAAGAATTTTATAAAAAATCATTATTTTTTTATTGGATTTCAAATTATTTTACCATACATTGAAATCAATAAATCAATAAATCAATAAATTTGCCAATGGAATCATAATAATAATAATCATTTTTTTTCCTTACAATTTTTTATATCCATATTAATATTTTCTATATTAAGTTTTCATTATTATTATTATTTACAACAACAGCAATTTAACAAAAAAAAAATGAGAGCAAATATAATAAAATTTAAAAAGTATTATTATTATTATTATTATTATTAATCAAAATATAACTTTTATTTCATCATCATTAACATCACCACCACCACCACCACCATCATCACCATCACCATCATCATCATTATTAAATAAATTATTTTTCAGCCTATTTTTTAAAAAAAAAAAAAAAGAGAGAATAAAATATATTTATATATAAATGATAGAAAGAGAGATAGAGATAGAGAGAGAGAGAGAGAGAGAGAGAGAGAGAGAGAAACGAGAAAAAAAAGAATAAAAAAAAAAAAAAGAAAATTTTTTTTAAATTTTTTTATAATAACTTTTAATAAATTCATAAATCCAACAATAATAAAAACAATTCAGGTACGATCTTTTATTTAACTTGGCATCATAATTACTCAAACCTTTTATTTATTTATATATATATATAATTATTATTATTAATAATAATAATAATAAAAAATAATAATAATTGTTTTTCATTGTTTTTTTTTCCCCTTTTTCTTTCTTTCTTTTCATTATTCCTGGCTGAATGATTTATTTATTTATTTATTTTTTTTTTATTTTGAATAAGTTTTTTTCCTTTTGTTTCTTTTTTACATAATAAATAATTTAACAAGTTTTTTATGAGACAATTTTATGTGAGAGCAACATTTTTTTTTTTGATCATTTGAGAGTAACAAGAAAAAAAAAAAAAAAAAATTGAATGGATTAAAGCTTTATTCCTTTCAACATTTTATAAATTAATTACTCTAAATTAACAAAAACAATAATGATCAAAATTTAATTTCATTTGTCAATGGAAATTTATTATTATTATTATTATTATTCATTTGTTTATTAAAACAAAAACAAAATAAAAGTCTGATTGGGTTTTATCCCTTCCTTTCCTTCCTCCCTCCCTCCCCCCCAACATCATCATCATCATTCTCATCAACATCATCACCTACTTCCCTTTTATTTATTATGGGATGATCATTTTTAAATTATTATAAAATAATTAATTAATTTCATTAAAAAATTCTCTTGCCATTTTGTTTTTTCCTTTTTAACCATATTAATATTATTATTAATGTCACAAAATTTTTGTTTTTTTTTTTTTTTTTTTTTTATAAGAAAAGAAGGCAAAATGCAATTTTGTAACAATATAATTAAATTTTTTCTCTCTGTCCAATTGGATATTGGACAAAATGTGAGATTATGTGAGTAATTTGAAAAACATAATTGCCAAAGAAATATTGATAAACAAAACTAACATAACAAGCTGCTGACGTGAAAACCATTCCTGAAAATCACCAAAAAAAAAGGCCATTTTAAGATAAAATAAAATTAATATGAAGTGGATGGGTTGCTGTTGCTGTTGTTGTTGCATGTACTTTTCATATAAATAAATAATGAAAAATTTTATCCAGAAATTACGACAAGAGTTTTAAATAATAATAAAATAAAAGATAAATTACCTTGAAATGAGGAGTTAAAAAATATAAAAGAGGATTTGCACGCAGACGCTCATTTTCTTCCCTCATTTTTCTTACTTCTTCCCGCCTTGCCGAACTTAAAACGGACGCTTCTTCCCTTGACATTGGCGCCACGGATTTTGGTAAAACTTGTACGTCCGGCAGTGATTTTTTCCTTTGAAGATTCGAATTTATTGTTGCAACCTAAATCACACATCAACAAACAATCAATTAATTAATTCGAAAACAAACAAAAACTAAACGTTTCTACGTAACGACATTTTTTTTTCAAATCGACATTCCACCATCACCATCATCATCATCATCATCATCGTTTTTAACGGTTTTTTCATTTTTTCTTTGTTACCCTATTGAGCTTATTGAAAATATTTCGACGTAATTTGTTGTTAATTACAAACAGTAAGCGTGGGAAAAAATTAAAATTATGTATATATATATAGAGTGGGCATTTATGAAAGCGTGGTAGGAAACAAAAAAATTTACCAAAAAAAAAAAAAATTTTTTTGCGTTTTTTTACTACTGACCTCAATGGCGGGAGGTGTATCAATCCAGCTTTCGCTCGCTCTTCGAGCCATAAGCGCAGGACTGAATAAAAGGTTTTCTTCTTCTTCTTCTTCTTCGACATACCACTTCATTTTTTATATTTTTTTTTATAATAATCAATAAATTATAATTTAAAAAAAAAAAAAACTTTTAAAAGAAGAGAGATTTATAATAACAAACCATAATCCTATTCGAAACTGACGATGAAAAAAAAATCATAGAATAATTCAATAAATAAATATATATATATGTGAATATTTATGTATATTCACAATAAACGAGCAACACTCAAACACTAACTTTGAAATTTTTTTTGTTTTTGGCAAGATAAAATTCAATATGGCGAATCACGAATTTAACATAAAATAAAATAAATTATTTTATTTTATTTTTTTTGCTATCAATTAAATCACAGAGTAATTTCAGAACCTTTGAAACTTATTTAAAAAAAAAAAAAAAAAAAAAAGAAATAGGAAAATAAAATTTTTCTCTTTTTCTTTTTATATAAAGACCTGCGAAGACGATTTTAGAATTTTTTTTTTACCTCCTTTTTTTTTTTTTTTTTTTTAAATTTATTCTCTTTGCCAAATTTTTTGAAAAAAAAAAAAAACGATCGAAATTTTTCTTTTTTTTTTTTTTACAACGTCTCGAATGAAATATATATATATAATTCCTATTATTATTATTATTATTATTATTATTATTATTATTATTTGTTTAATTATTACGTAACGAAAAATAAAATCTGAATCCTCTCTCGCTCTCTCTCTCTCTCTCTCTCGCATGAAATATAAATTTAAAAGAAAAGAGAAATTATTTTTTTCTTTTTTTTAAAATTTTTCAAATAAAATGTTCAAAATGGCAGAAAAAAAAATAAAGTCATAATAAAATAATAAAAACCTAAGTAAGATAAACAACTTTTACTCGTGAGATTTGTGCGATGACAACTAAATAAATAAAGACAACAGCGCGGGGGGGGGGGAAATTTCTTTATATACAGTTCATAGTTAAAAAGGTCACCAACAACAGCAATATATATATATGAAAAATTTCAAGAATTTAAATCCCTGTAATAATAATAATAATAATAATAGAAAAATAAGAAAAAAGCAAAACAATAACAAAAAACAATTTCAAGTCAAACGAATTTTTTTTTTTTTTTTTTTTTGCGTATATGTGTGAGTGTGAGCGTGCTTTGAGCTTTAGTAAACAAAAACAAATTAAAACAATATATAAATAATAATAATAATAATAAAAAACATAAACAAAAGAGTCAAGTACTGGAAAAAAAAATAAAAATTTCTTAGGGTAAGTAAAAACTAAAAACTCCCAACACAAGACAGCCAAGAAATTATTTTAAATAAAAAAAAAAAAAAAACAATTATACTATCTATCTATCTATCTACCTATTTATCTAAATTTAAATTAGTTGGATTCATTGTATTTTTTGACATGCTTAAAAATAAATGATAAAAAAAAAAAAAAAATTCAAAACCCCCCCCCCCCCTCAAATACCAAATAATGTTGCCAAATAAACTTATAAAAAAAAAAAAAAAAAATTAGCTGACACAAATTAATTTTACTCTTCTCATCTTATATAAAACTACAAGGGCAAATCAATAGTTCTTTTAACTATTTTAAAATAAATGTGGGTGTGTGTGTGTGTGTATACCCGCACACCCCCACCCCCACCCACACATTTAGCCAAAAATTTTGAGTGTGCCAAAAAAAAAAAAATTTTTTTTAAATTTTTATGTGATAAGATTTTAAAATTTCTTTTTTTTTTTTTTAAAAAAAAAAAATTTGACTGAAACTTATTTAAAAATTGAATTGAATTGTTGTTTATTATTATTATTTTGATAAAAACATGAACACCTATAACAACACCTTAGTTATTTTTTTATACTATAATAATAATAATAATAATAATTAAAACTTTACACAGACATCAAGTAGTAGTAGTAGTAGAACCTTAAACATCAATAGACATAACTATATATAAATCGTACCATTTTAATTTTTTTATTAAACTAAACCAAATGTTATTGAAAAAAGAAATAAATACTTATTAAAAGATGATAATAATAATAATAATAATACTAAATGTAAAAATGAAAATGAAAATTAATTAAATAAATTTTTAAGCATGCTTAAAAAGGTTTTTCAGCACTTTTGAAAAAAAAAATTCCAGTTACAATAAAATTTCCAACTTTTGTTGTTGTTGTCGTCGTACTTTTAATAGTAAAGAAAAGACGAAGAAAAAAGGTTTTTAGTTAATGATAGGTTAAACGTGACGAAAGCAAAAATGTCAAGTTAAAAAATGTTTTTTTTTTTTTTTTTTTTTTTTTTTTGATTGAAGAAAAACAGGGTTATTTATTAGAAAATTCAAAAATTTGAGGTCTTATTATAACTTACCCCTTTTGTTGCACCGCCACCCTTTGAATTGTTTGAATTAACAAACAAGGATTCAGTTCTTTTAGGCTGCTGCGCCGATCCGGATAAATCCGGTATTGGAGTTCTTTTACGCGCAGATCCTTCATTGTTCGACGTTTCGTAGACAGGAGAAGTTCCAGTTATGGTCCCATTAGCAGCAGTCGATAAGGGGGTCGAATCCCTTACGGGAAATCGTCCTTGAACGGTTTTATCTAATTCAGTAACAATCGTTTTATCCACTGAGGGTTGACGAGAACCAATGGACAACCGAGTTCCTGGTTTCGAGCGATCAACACTAGCATCGCGACTTGGCGGTCTTTTATAATGATCGAAATGATCGCTCATGGCTTGTTGAAATGAAAGTGAGGGCGGATTTCCAGAGACTTGAGAGTTTCTCCGAATGTTGGTGACTCTCGTAGAGGAGGATGATGATAGTCCATCCGCTTTGACACTCGTCGAAGACATTCGAATTGAATTCGTAGAAATTTGATTTGAGGAAGGTTTTTCATCCGCGGATGAACTTGATTGTGGAGCGACCGGTTGAGAATAGAGCGTTTCTCCTGCACTACTCGGACTCGCTACCGAATCTATAACCTTGTGTTGATTTAAAGATGTGCTACCGCCGTTTGGCAAATTTTCGTTTAATTTCGTTTTTAAAAACGTCCCTTTGGATTTATGTATAACGGGCTGTTGAAAATCCGGAGCAAATTGTTTCGCTATGGCTAATGCAACATCCGATTCTTCTTGTGCTGCCGCCGCAGCTGCATCCGCTAGTTCCGCTTCTCCTCTCGCCGTTGCCGTTCGCGATATCGCTATATCAGCTTTTTGTAACGCTAATTTACTTGCTCTTTGAGCGGCATAAACCGCCGCATCTATTCTCTCTCTAAATTTTGCCGATCGAATTAAAAATAAATGCTTTTTTTTCTGTGACGTAATTAATACATTATTTTTATATTTTCCCTCCTCTTTGACACCATCTTTAAAAGTCGTAACACCATATCCGTATTTTTTATTATTAAACCATTCCCCTTCGTATTTTAAACCGTCGGATCGTTCTGCAATACCAAAACCGCATCTCTTGTCGTTTTTCCATTCTCCCATATAAGTTTCCGTCACGGACTTGTCCATTGTTTCGTCCTGAAACGATACGCAATTATTAAACATATGTAAATATTTTTTTTCTAAAAACGGAAATAAAAATTTTATACATACCTCAACAACAAAACTCGCATTAGAATCGGTGTGCGCTGATTGATGTGAAAGGCCAGACTGATAAGATTCTGTGCTTACCCAAGAGGCACTACTGGCTGTACTTCGAAGGCTAGCCGTGGTCCCTGCTTTTCCCCCCCTTTCTACTTCTCCATCTAAACTTCGCTGCTTTTTCATTTTCTGCAATTAAAAAAAAAAAAAAAAAAAAATTAAAACTATTGATTTTTCTCACAATCAATCATAAATGCTATATTATCGATATTTAATAAATAACGATTAATGAATAACAAAAAGAAAAAAAAACCTGACCGTAGTAATACATAAGAAATTAAGAAGTTGAAACAAATTAATAAAAAATTTAAAAAGAAAAAAGAAAATGAGGAAAGGAGGAAAGAAAGAAAAAAAGAAAAAGGAAATGACTGACAAATTAAAAAAAAAGAAAAAAAAAAAAAAAGTTTTTCAAGGGAAAGAAGATGGAGGATACAAGTGGTGGAAAATCTACTCTTTGAATTTTTAACTAAGAAATATTATCATTAATGTTTAATTAAATTTCCAACTAACTGAGTTTTCTCTCTTTTTTTCTTTCTTTCTTTCTTTCTTTCTTTCTTTTAAAAACTTTTTCTTTAATATATTTTTATTTTATTTTTTTTACTCTTTTCCCCTCTCCCTACCTTCCTCCCATCCCCTTCTCCCTCTCCCCATCCCCCTCTCGTATTTATCCTCTTTTATCTTCACGGTAGAAAAATCGATATTCTTATGTAGCGTTAAGAAAAAAAAATAACAACAACATGTACTCCCCATCATATATTAAAGTTTTAAAGGGGGGGGGAGGGTTTAACAAAAGAAAAAATAAAAATGTCTAACCGAAAGCATATTTTTAAAATTGCTAGAAGATTTTTCGACCAGGGATCGTCGTCGTACAGGTGCTGCAGTCGGATCGCTTTTGGCTTTTAATACAAATCCACCACGAGAATCATCGACTCTTCTATCTCTCTCAATGGACGGGTTCGTGTCTCCAACACCGGCTCCCTCGTTGCTCCTCAAAGAAGTCAACGAGGCACGCACGGATTTATTTGGACGGTAATGAGATGCCAATCCGAAAGGTACACTGGTTCTTACTCCGTAACCGTGGCGCATACCTCTTAGCCATTGTCCTTGATAGGTACCTGAAAAATTACAATTTTATAATATTAAATAAAGTTAAGTTTTTTTCATTCCTTTGAAAAATAAAACTCTTTTCCATTGAAAAAGGAAAATGAAAAATAATTATCATCGATTAATATATATATATATATATATATTATTCGACATAGTTTTTTCAATGAAAATAATATCATCATCCCAATTGTTTTTTAACTATACAGAAAAAAAACATGTTTTGAGAACATGAAACAAACAAACAAACAACAAGGCGCTCTATTGTTGTTGTTATTATAAACCCTGGGCAAGAAATTAAAAAAAAAAAAAATTAAAATTTTGCCAAAAAAATTTAATAAAATAAAATACCTATATAACATTTTATAAATTACATAAACACAATTTCCATTTACTTCATAATACTAATAATAATAATAATAATAATAATTATTGAATTCTTTTTTTTCTCTCATATGTATCACAATAATTAATAATAAGTTATTTTTAATAGTATGAATTAATTATCATTATTATTATTACCGTTTGTTTTTTTGTTTCCCAATGAGTAATAATAATAAAAGGAATAAATCGGCGAAAATTAGTCATAATAATAATAATAATAATAATAATAATAATGAAAAAAAAATTTCATTTAAATGTGTAATTGTCATATTATTATTTTTCCTAAGAATTTTCGTGAGTTGCTTGCTACTACACCTTCGTAAATATTTTTTCTTATTTTTTTGCTATTCGTAAAAAGTTTTAAAAAGTTGCCCTTTTTTTTGTGTGCTCTGTAGCTATTTTAAAACTCGCACACCCACACCCACACAAATAATTTTATATTAAATTTTTTTTTGTATTTTTTCCTACAGGAAAATAAAAAAATAACAATGGTTCGTAAATAATAATATGACAGTATAAATTTTAAAAAATTGTATTATTATTATTATTATTACAAGAGACAGAAAAGGAAAACAGACAGTAATATTATTATTATTATTACTGTCAAATTCGATAAAGAAAAAGGACAAAAAAAAATTTTATTTTATAACCCAGACTCGAAAAAATTTTCTTTTTTTTCCCTCTTTCTCTCTCTAAAATTAATTTAAAAAGAAAAATAAATAAATAAT